AGGTCATCATAGATCTGTTCCAATTTTGAACATTTTGTGCAGGATGGATGGTTCAAGCTGGCCTCTTCAGCGATTTCGGCTTTGCCTGATGATCCGGCTCAGCAAACATACCAAGTCTTCATGGACACGATTCAGGAAAAGGTCACAGAGTTCTTGGATTTGCCCAAGGTTCGAGTCTGGGCTGATACTTTTGTTTATTGATTACGGGGCTGATCAAATCAGCGTTCAGTCTTTTTAGATCTTTTCAGAATGTTTGGTGGTAGTGGTTTTGAATAACATGGAAAGTAGACCTAGAGGGAGTAGACTTTGAACTTTTGTTGAGGATTGGAGTTGCGCCCGATTTCAATTGAGTGAGATCTGATCAGCAAGTGGATGTGATGTCCTACAAAGCCAACTCCCGACTGGCTTGACACGTGCGTGCACATGCGCTTGCATGAAGGGGAGCCAACACGTGAGATAGCCTAGTACTGGTTAGACTGGCTTGGTAGGTATTGAAATTTTGAAGCAGCGCCCATCGATCTGTCGACAAGTTTGTTTGTAGGAGCTTTTACTGGAACCTTTTTCAAATCAGCCAAACTGCTTAACTGCTTAAGCACAGATTGGGCAAGTCACTCAAACAATGGGTGGCAGCAGATCTTAGATTATCTTAGACCAGCCATACAGCTTTTGCTCTTCGGCAACGGGACAAGTGAAAAGGTTGGTAGCGCAAACACGTCTGATAAAACCAACTTTCGAGCTGGACGTTGACATGGACTTGATGAGACTGCTACATTTCAAGAAGGACCAATAGACCAATACTACATCCCATCACTATCTTTGCTTTTCCACTTTTTACTTGGCCTTGTTGGGCAGTCTGGCCAGGATGTCCCTTCGCAGAGGGCAAGCCCTGTTGGCAAGACATGGACTGTGCCGTACGCCCGGCGCAGATTTACATCTTCTTTGTAGTTGTGTGTGTGAAAGGTTGCTTGTTTGAGGCGCAGGCATTGTTTTGCATGCTTCATCTCTTTCCTTTTGCAGCCATGGTTGAAGCCGGGCAAGGGCGTCTCTCTAGTGCCATGAAATCCAAAATTACTCGAGCGCAAATCGACCATGCATGTCGAGTTATGCTGACTCTGGGAGCCCCAACAGACTCTCAGCGACTTTCAAGTGTGAAGGAAGGGGGTGTTGCTAGTTTCACAGCCTCAAACCAACTGCTGTGAGGAGTGGATTTGGTTGGTGCTACTTGCCTCTTGGATTCCTGTCACAGAACACTTCTGTCCAAAGCCATTGGACATAGTCGAGTACTTCAGTGGGTGTGCGAGGGTGAGTAAGTGGGCACACTTCATGGGGTTCAATGTGCGGGCGTACGATATAGACTACGACCATCCACCTGCAGGGTTCGAGTCTTCGTTTTCCTCAACACCCAAACGTTCAGCTTATGACATCAATGGAGATGCTGGCATATTGTTGCTCATCTAAATGTTTTGCTTTGTGTTTATCCTGAATACTTATTCTTATTGTCAGGGTCCAGGGTGATCCCATTTAATTGCAGTATCTATTGTTTGAACTTAGGTTGGCCGTGCTTCTTGTGCTACAGGGCTCTACGGATCTTGTATCGATCATAGCAGTTGTTTGCTCAACATGGAGTCTTGTCAATCGCCACACGTCCCAACGTGATGATCTCACACCAGAAGGACAGATTCGAGCAACCTCTGTGAGAAAAGGAAATCGCATGGTGAGTCGAGTTTCCCTTTTAATTCTATTGATGGGGTGCTTGGGGCAAACGTATCTCCTGGAAAACCCAGAGCGGTCGATCATCACGGCATATCCTCGATTGACATGGGTCCTCAAGGCTTTGCGGCGCGCTGGAGTTCGAGTGGTTTGGATGATTTGGGTTGCGACATTGTATTTAATTTTGTTGCTTATTGATCAAAATGACCAAGCACTTTCTTGGAAAGCATTTGTTGATGTGGTAAAGTTTAGCCAATGCTTTCAGGTTGACCTTTGAGATGGCATCCTTTGGCGCCCCTAGCAAAAAGCCCACGATGATCCTGACCAACAGCATGGCAGCAGCGAAACTTTTGAGAAAACGGAAAAAACACATGAGGCTTCAAACAGGGATGACGCCCACAACAAAACGTTACCGGGACAAACGTGGAAAACTTCGTTTCTGCGGAACTCCACGCCTGAAGAAATCTCAGACACTTGTCATTTTATGGATGTGTGGTTGGTTTAGTGGTTTCAACAACTGTATTCCCACTGCTTGCCTTGATCGGTGACCATTTCGGGCCTTGGGGGGTCTGGTGGGTAGCTAAGGATCTATCCCATGCCTTTTGCAAAGGCTATCATCCAACTTTTGCCTGAATTTCAAAAGCACAAGACTGGCTTTGATATGAAGGATCGATATTATAAAAGGGGATGGTGTAGCAGCACAATGAAGTGCATTAAGTGTTGTTTTGTCACACATGTTTCAATCCTGCCCCGCATCAGGCAGATGATGATGTGGCGCTCCCTGAGCTGATGGTTCGTCTTCAGAACCCTGGGTGGGAGGAAACAAACCTCCAGTCTGCTGTACAATACATTCGGCAAATCAGGGAGATATGTATCCCTAGCGAGTTTTTGGCATGTGAGCATTTGTTCACGTCTTGCTGCTCCTAGGTGGAACGAAGGCACCTCAAAGGGGTTTCTCATGAAGTTAACTCCATTTTGTGGTTTGGACAAGTTTTAGGGGAAAAACATGAAAATCAAAACGGCGTAAAAAAGCATCAAAACGGCGTAAAAAAGCATCAAAACGGCGTAAATTTTTTTGGTTGGTTTTAGGGAACCCCTTTGGCGTCGCAATGCGACACAATTGAACCTTCTTTGCACTATCGTGTGCATAATTCAGTATGGCGAGGGTTTACCCGTCGCAATCACCATGACATCCTGGAGAGGTATGATTTGGAAGTGAAACAACAATCTATGTTGTGATTCATGGTGCACGTGTAAAACTACAGTTGGGATTGAGGTTTTGGTGTTTTGGTATGATTAATTCTGATTCTGAAGCTTTTTCTGGCCACAGCTGGTAGTTACAATGGAACCTCAAGCCTTGCGGAGCATTTGGTCAGCAGAAACCTTGGTAGGGGGGTTGGCAGGGATTCATCACCAGCCTGGGCTTCTTCTCACCAAGCTGGAGAATGATCATGAACTTCAGAATGAAATGAACGTTGCTTGGATGGTTTTTCCTGTGACATCTGGTTAGTATCATTTGTTCCCACATTGTATGATCAATCCTCTTTGAATGTTCCTAGGCTCTTCAAGCGAAGCTTGAACGACTGGGCCCGGAGGACGCGTCGGGGTTGGTTGAGCCTGCAGTTGTGACCCAGCAGGAGGATACTGTTTTTGACACACTTGTTGACAACACCCAGCTCGAGGCACATAGTTTGATCCCTATGAGGTCCCAGAACCCTTGGCGGAGAAAGGACAGGCTTACCCAGAAGTTGTTGACGGTGATGACATGGACAACAATGCCATGAGGGAGTTTTTCATCCAACATTTGGATGATGATGTTGTACCTAGGTGATGGAATAGCCATGGTTGGTTTTTAGATGAGTGCTGTAAGCCACTGTTTCAGTTGAACGTTTGTACATTGGAAACCTCAGCACAGCATTTTATACTTGGGCTCAGGTGCTTGACGATCCTTATCCAAGTCCAGATTGCGATGTCGAGGGCCCAGATGGTGGTGCCGGTGCTCATCCAAATTCGGGTCATTGCACGTGTGAAGGGCTGGGTGGCAGTGCCAAAGGTGATGTTGGTTCAAAATCTCTTGAGGTTGGTGAGGCTGGCCCATGTCAGAAGGTCTCTGATCAGCTCCATGTTGAGACCCAAGCTTCTGGCTCATGTGGGAGGGCCGTAGCCACGCCTGCCAGGGCGGTGGCACAAATTCCCGGAACCCCCGATGAATCAGTCGAAACGCTAAGCTACACTCCAACCTCGGTGGCCACCCCAACACCTCCTTATGAAAGCGTCCCTGATTCAAAAGATAAGGATGCAGCCCGTCCAGTGCCAGGACAGCTCAGGATTAGCGAAGGTGCGATCTATGGGAGGCTTCGCCGAGTGTTTGAGCCTTCCAAGAAAACCGGACACAGGAAGGTATCAGATGCCATTTACAAACAATGGGTTGACAAGGGCAAGGGCAGGCAAAAGATCTTCTCATTGTTCCAAAGCTGTGGATACTGCAAGGACAGATGTGTTTCTTTTCCCAACATGAAACAACCAAACCCTCTACAACTGCGGGATTGTGGTTGAGTTTGGGCAAAGCTCTTGGCTAGGACAGCTTTATTCAAGAGTGTGAACTTCTTCGTGAAGATAGCTTGGAGGACAACTTGCTAATAGAAGGGGAGTTTCTCTCTGAACGTGCTATGCTCGAAGACTGGGGATGGAGTCCGACTCTAGGCTTGTTCAGTTTCCATTGATAATGACCAGTGTCCCATGTTTGCAGCCTTCATCTTCTTCCCCCAGCCCCGATCTTTTGCTGTTTTGGTTGGCCTAGGCCACGGGTGGCGGCAGCCAAGAAAGCCGCAAAAGAAGATCCGAAGCGGCTTATGAGGCCTAATTACAAGTGTAGGTGAACGGTAGTTTGTTGTAGTGACTGTAGTGTAGTGTAGCTTATTCTTCTGTTGACCTGTTGACCTATCCAGCTGGGTGCAGGTGGGACCGATACGAAAGGGTGCTATTGTAGGATGCAATCCCTTTCGACAGATCCCGTCCAGAATTTGCTTACAAGTGCGACGTTTTTTCACAATCTTCGACTTGGCCTCTACCGTCACTTTGTAGGATCGTCAGTTTTCTTGATCCTGAGAACCGGCTTCTTTCGATCACATGGAAAGGTAGATGAGAAATTGGCTGCTGCTTGGGGTCATTTCAAGCTCTGGCAAACTATGACAGGACAGAGAGCATCTCTCCGTTCGTTCACCTCAGCTCTGTACAACTATGAAACTCGACGCAGCTTTCCCTGGGTGAACTGCAAGGGTTCAGACTGCATGCTTTGCTTGCGATGGTTGATTTCAGTTGCGGTGGCTGTCCTGAATACACAGCAGCTGGACCAAGGGCTGAAAGAAGCGATGGAAGTCATCGTATCTTCAGCTCGGCTAGGCGTCCGGTGGTTCGATCTAGTGTACCAACATGGACTGTGGCTTTCACCTTCCTGTGGAGCATGCCTCTATGAAGTTGGGGTCGGCTTTGTTGATGGCTATGCAAAGTTGTTTGCTTATGCTTGGGCAACTCAGCAATCTCTGTATGCATTGGTCCCCAAGTACCATTTTCAGCTCCACACGTTGCATGAGCTTCATACTCAGCTAAGCTCTGGATCACTGGTGATTTGCAATCCTGTGCACTGGGACTGTAGCCAGAATGAAGACCTCATCGGTCGATTGAGTAAGTTGAGCAGAGTCGCAGATTGCCGTGTTGCCAGCGCTAGGGTGCTTGAATTGTATCTAATAAAAGCGTGCATTCTCTTGAAGAGACATTTTGGTGACAAAAGCAGGCAGGGACAATGATGCGAATCGAATTATAACGGTGAAACAAAGTTGTAAAGAGGTGAGGTGTTTCTGAAGACTGGTTTGTGAGGTTGATCCTTGCCGGCATTGTCAAAGCCAATGTTAAAGACATTTGGCATTGTGATGCATTGTGTGAATCGATCGGAAAACACCTGGGGACAGTGATGATTTCCTGAGAGCGTTTATTTTGACAAACGGCGATAATGTGAGCTCACGGCGAAAGTTTTTGTTGTTTTGCGAAACAGCGGAAATTCCGCACACGAGGAAGACCTAGGTATATATATATATACTAATTGTTTGGTGGGAAATCTTTTGGACTTACTGGACGTCAACGGAGTGGACTCAGGTGGAATCCACATCCGCCATTGGTTTGTATGAACTTAACCTAGTACGACCCAAATAGTTATTCAGAACTGGACCGGACGTATTCAATGAGTTTTGGTTATTTGTGTGAGAGTGCCCTGATGGGTCTTGTTACTTATTATATATCCTGTAGGCGCACAGGCGCCAAAGCCAAGAAAACAAGGACGGGGACAAGTTGATGTAGATAAAACTAACTTGCAATTGGCAGCCCCTGGAAATCAGACATCAGAGCTTGATGCATGCGGTTTTCAGAGTAGCCAGATGGTGCAATCCTTCTTCAGCTACTTGAAGATGAGAACCACGTTTGAGTTTCGCACCACCTACTCATTATGCTATCATATGCTTGCAAGATTTGGTGCAGATCAGACCGGCCTCACTTCAGGAGCCTGCAAAGCAACCTCATGCAGTTGCCGAGGCAACATGTGAATGGGACGATCTGACCTGCTGTACAGCTACAAACGCCTTCCAAAGGATGTGACTCCACTTCTTATGTATCATGTTGTTTTTTTCCCAAGTGCGACTCTTGGGGTGCACCAAGTGCGTTTCAGTACGTCGATCTCAAAATGCCTTAGCTCCAGGCGTGCCTCACATGCAGCGGAAAGAAGTCACAGAGTCATCACTCATGCATATGGGTTCATGTTCTTAGCTAAGCTACAAGCACACGAAGAGTCATGAACCCTACAGGATTCAACATCACCTGCAGTACTCAACACCGGCAAAAGAACAGTGTTCGGATCAGTTGACGGAGCTACTGCTGCAGAGCTAATGTTTTTTTTCCTGTAGTTTTCCTGCGACGGTGCATGCCTAGTGACTTAGCCAGTATATCTATATATATTTTTTGGCTGCCTGAACCTAATTGCCTAATTAACTATCCTGCCTTCAACATTGCGTGAACCCTCCAAAACTGAAACTCATTCAACAAATGCTCTGAATTGCCCTGCTCCACTGCCCCCACTCCACCGCTTCAGGCTCCACCTCCGGCACCGGCACCAGCGCATGCGCTGGCGGAACCGGCACCTGCAGAGCCGGAGGCACCGGAGAAAGACAGCCTCTTGGGTCAAGATGGGACAGCAGGTTGGCGACCGGATATGGGCTTTGGAGTTGTTTATGGAGAGTGACAATCAAGGAACTGTGAGTTGGTGGTGGATACGGAAAATAGAACGAGGGATGGACTCATGAATTGGTCCGGGTTGAGATGCTGTGTTTCTCCAAACCGGTTTCGGCGGACAATGCTGCACAACATTGCACAAACAATTCGAAACAAGGAACGAAAGTATTTACGCGTACTACTTGGCATATTAGCGTTGTGTTAGCACCTCCTGGTCACCTGAGGAGCGGTGGATCTGTTTAGGTCCTTCTTGTCGCATGGCCGAGATGCACAGAACTGGCGGAAGAACGACCCGCAGCTGCACGGGAGGGTGTTGCCTGTTGGCTTTGTGGCATGGTGGGTCAAGGGAGAGGGCCAGAAGAAAGGGCGGTTCATGTGTCAGATGTTTCTCTTCATCACCAAATTTTAGCAAATGTAACCATGGTTGCCTATGCTGTCCAAATGTAGCACGTGAGTAATCGTATTTTGTAAGGGTTAGGGCCGGACTCTTGGTGTGAGCTGGGGATAGGTGGCTTGAATGTTTCAAGGTTTTGGGCTACTTGTCGTTGACGGTATTGGCCACGTTCGTCGACTGGGGAGAGCTGCGCACTGAGGATCTGCGATTGATCAACAACTTCGTGGTGCCATGGTGCCTGGCTGAAAAGTCTTCGACGATGTACTCATATGGGACATCCTCCGCACGTATGGCGATTGACAACGCCATGACCGGCATTCATAAGTCTATCCATCCTCTTCTTCACCACTACCAACTCGCCACCCACGGCCATCCACAGTTGACCCCAGGCTCTTCGGCGGCGACGCGCGCATCGACTGGGCTCATCCGGTCCTGGCGCTGGATCAGCTGGAGGAGTTGACGCGCGAGGCGCCGGAGCAGTGCCTTGGGCGCCCATCCGGGCGAATCGGCGATCGGGTGGACGTGGTGGTCGAAACTGACCAGTGGGCGACAGGGGGGGTTGATAGCCTTGGCCGGTATAGCCTTCTGATGCCTTCTTATTGGAGTCATGAATGAATGGAGGGAGGATCCCTGAGAATCCCAGAGAAAATGGCTGAACTTAGAGGGTTGAGGTTTTGCGGTTTCTGCGAGGTCATGAAATGACCATGACGCAGTGATGCTGACAGTGGCAGAGTGGCAGGTGTAGGTGGAGGCAAGAAGGTGCATACCAAAAAGGACGGAGCGAGCCACATGAAGCCTCCAGTTCAAAGACATCGATGGGTTGAAGCCTTGGGGTACCAATTCCTTTATATGTGCGTGATTGATTGACAGGGAAGAAGTCTTTGGGGGAAGGAGAAATCTGTAGCAATAAATAGCTATGTGTGACCAACAACTCCTTTGGGTCTCACACGAGTGAGGAAACATCCTTGCGCCATGGGATGCCATGGGCTTCAAATTAAAGGATAACGGATAACCCCGCATTCATATATGTGAGGAGGCGGACGGCAAGCCTACACAATACTGTAGATGTGTTAAAAAAAGAAACAGTTCCATCTTTCTTGCTAGTCTCCTTGCAGTTCGCCATCAGCATTGGCCTTTTGGAGACACTCAGGTTGAAGCTGCTGGGACCTGCTCCAAAGAAGAGCGTCCAGGCACAGTCGAGTCAACGAATTCCGGACGTTCTTTTTCAGGCCCAAGGAGTCAATGGCTTAAACGGTAGTACGCAGTGATCAAGTGGTTCGGATGGGATATGCTTGGATGACTCCTTTTTTTTTTGCGTTTTGTTTCGCTGTGTCTTTTTCTGAAAGATTGGTACTGGATCGATCGACTAGGCCATGTCAGCCTTGCAAGGGAGTGCTCACTCAGTGAAAACAGCGGATTGAAGTGGACGATGTGCTGATTCAGCAGGACCTGGCCACCAAAAGTATCCAGAAGTCCTTGTCCAACAACTTGCCAAAAGCACCCAAAATCACCAATCCCAAGTTCCCGAGGCTTTGCTTCTCATCACCCCCCACCATATATCCTACCTCTCCAAAGCACTCTTCTGCTCGTATTTGAGCCGCTCATCAGGCTCCTTACGCCCCGGTGGCCGCTCCCACGGCGCCCACCACGCCCAACACCATGACGCCCGGCTCCACGCCGCACGCGCGGCCCCCGCGGCCGCCGCGACCGCAGAGCCCGCTGGAGGAAGGCGCCAGCAGAGTTGGAGCGGCGGAGTTCGGCGGAATCATCGCGGAAGGATCATGGTTATGTGGATGGCATGGCCTCAGGAGAACAGGATGACCAATTTCTTCTCTACTTGCGAATGGTTTTCAATCATCCACTTCCATGATTAGATTTCGGTGAGGAAGCAGAAAAAGCGCAGCCAGCTGCTCCTGCAAGACCGCTCAATAAAAAGGGGTGGTGAACTCCGAGAGAACTCCCTGTTTGCAGGTGCTCCACCTGCTCAGCCTGTTGCCCGCCGCTGTGGTACGGGCGACCTGCCCCGGCGCTCGAAGGCACCTGAGGAGAATCCACGCGACTTGGAGAAGAAGAAGTGGAAAAGGAATGAAAAGGAGGTGGGGATGAGAGGGGGGTACCCCGTTCTTTTTCCTTGAGTTTCTACACCAAACAGGCACATCAGACACCTCCCTCTAGACCTGAATGTTGGACCTTTAGACACACTGTTTGAGGTCTCTTGCTGGGCGAATGTTGGAACCGGCTGTCACCATGTTGCTATTGCTTTTGAGCATCTTTGAGCCATGTTGCACCGTGTTTTGTCTCGCCGCATGAAAGTCCTCAGATGCAGCACCGGAGATTGGGACTTTGGGTCTTCATCCCATCTCTGAGATGAGATCGAGGGTCATCTCATCTTTCGGGTCTCTGGGGCCATCTTTGGGCTACAGAACTCCTATATCTATAAGTGGAGCTCTAAGTGGAGATTCCTCTTTGGATAATCTTTGGGCTACTCATATCTAAGTGGGGGATCATAAATCCACATATGTTTTTAAGGCCCCGGCCTCCACTGCACTCATGGCACCCAGGATGACTCGCCCTGTCGGTTCGATCCCCCTCACCTCAGCGGAGCGCCGGCCTAGGTGGTGCTCGGAGCGCCTCGCCGGCGCGGGTGTGCAGCCATCAGGAGGCCGAGCAAGTCGAGTCCTGTTCAGTATCCTGTTTGGAGGGGATGTTGCTTTCCGAGCTCGTTTTTGGGGGGAGCACTATTTGAGTTCCTTGCTTGAAGATGCTTTGGCAAGCCATTTGACCTGCAAATACAAGATAGCACGAGAGTCAATGATGCACCACTTGGTTAAGCACATGTTGGCTTCTATTCTTCAGTCTTGGTTTGCCCAAAAGTGGATCCCAGTTTTGGGGACGGCCAATCGAGTGGCACGTGCTCCGAAGACAGCGTGGCTCGTGGAAACGGCCGGCCGGCCAGCACGTGGAAAAGGCGGTTGTTTGTGAACCCGAGGACTGATTTCTATTGTCATGTCTTTCAAGAGGAATCATTGGATGAGGTTGGATGTGATTGAGTCAATTACGTAGATGACATTGGACTTTGGGAGTTGGATCCTCGCAAGTAAAAACACCAGAAATAAACACTTGAAAACAAACAAGGAGGAACTCACACTTACAGAGGGGACGAGTTCATTTGGAGGACTTGTGGATCCCACCACCAGCTGCGCCAGGCCATTCGTGCGCGGCGGGAAGCGCTGGAGCAGGCGCGCCAGGACTCCTTGAAGATGCTCGGCACTGCTCGGCGCCTGCGGTGCTTGAAAGTAGACGTTGATAGAGTGCTGAGAGCGCTCACTGTTGCAACGGTAGTTGTGTTAGAAAGATGGCTGAACTTGGGGGTCGTTTGCAATGATTTGCTATGTAGGCGGTCAGTTTGCAATTTTGGTACTCATATAGATGTATGTGTTGTTTTTGGTGACGCTATGGGTTCGGACTGCTTTTGCCCAAGGAAAGCGCTTGCCAAGAAGGAGTTCGGGCACCGTGAGGACTGGAGGGTCAGACACTCAGGAAGCTGGAGGAGTAGCTGGCCATTCTGCACAGTCTGGTGATGGTTGGAATCCAGGCCTGCCAGGCAAGCTGCGTTGAATCTGAATCTAAAGTGGATAACTGATAGCATCACTTTGGCAAAGAACCTCTACTTCAAGTGTCTCCTTGCACGGGGTACCTTACTATACATTAACCCCCCCTTTCTCATCAGATCCCAGTCAGATCTTCTCACCACTATGGACTCTATGACCAAAAGACCTCTCATCACCTCACCAGACAGATGCCACCCCGCTCGCACACAAAAAGAAACCATCCTCACCGGCAGTCACAGGAGGAGATCGCAGCGCTGGAGGCCCAGATGGGCACCGCCAGCACCTATGCCGCGGCGGGGCTCAAGAAACGCCTTCAAACCTTGAAGGCCCCGAAAATCGTGGGAAGCAGGAGACAGACATGAGACAGGCATATGTATGACATCATATGACCCTTAGGCACAGTATGACCAAGTATGTGTATCAATTTACTTTGTTGATTTAAGTGTATGTGTTTTGGAGTGTGTTCACTTCACAAAAGTGGGTCAAATTGCTGCAGCTGCTGAGATGCATGAAGTCTAGTATGAAGCCTAATTTTCCACATGATCATGATGCTAATGAGGATGTGTTTGTGTTGCACGTGTTGCACCACAGCGACCCTGGAGGCTGCGGCCCTGCGAGAGGACCGCGCCGCCCAGGCGCGCGCGGCCGCAGCCCGCGCCGCCGTGAACGGAGGCGAGCTCCGGGCGTGGCTGGGACAGTGGCACTGAACGGAGTTCATCCGGATGGGTCTGAAGAGCCTTGAAGAAGCACCGCTTTGGAACTCGAATTATGTGCGCCACTTCTTGGCAGGTTTGCTTTTGAATATGTCGGGATCACATAGGAGGAAGATGCATGTTGGACTATTATCAGAAGCCTTCGTGGGTGACATGATGTGCTTTGGTCCGGCATTTGTCCCAACTGATGCGAATGACTCTTTTGTGAAAGTGCCACACCACAGTGTGATGAGAGTCTCTTGTAGGATGGAAGAAGTCCAAACTCCGGCCTAATGCAGAGGCTTTCATCATGTCAATCTACCAATTGAGGATTGGGATTATACCATAATAATCCATGATATGCCCAAGGTATAGGTATGAGGAGGTTGGCCTTGAGTAATTCAGAGACATGCCACGAATGGAGTTGGCAAGTGGCCTCCTGGTACAACTCCAACTTCTTCCAATGTGCCCGCAGCGACACCCCTGCAGCGTTCGGGGCCCTCCATAGTTGGGTGTTTGGTCGAGTTTATCAAGGTCTTTGATCTATGAAACCCTGGTGCAACCCCCATTGCAGCTCCTTGGAAGATGTTTGGATAATGGCAAATGGTAGACATGTTCCATCATTTCCCCCTAACATACACAAATGCAGCCAAAGTAACGGATCATCGCCATCCCAACTTGGCCATTTCCAAGTTCATGACCTTCACCAGCCCTTCGACCACTCCACACGTCGTACATCCATGCGCCCATTGGTCAGCTACACCTGGCTTTCCACCCACACGGCTCGCCCGAACCGACCATCAACGCCTGCATGTTTGGCTCGAAGACCTGTCCATGTAGCCCAACCCCCCCATTCTTTGCCGGGTCCACTGGACCCCGATTTTGGATGTTCGTGCGGCGAGCCTATGCCTGCCCGGTGTGCGGCGAAGGGTTTGCCAAGTGGAGCATTTGCCAGAACCATGTCAACACTAGTGCCGCTTGACCACCATTAGACCATTATTAGACCATGGAGGACACGTCCGAACACATCTCACCACAGAAAAGAACTTGGTTTGTTGCTGATTTTGAGTGGGTGAAGCCTTGTTTTGGGGCGCGGTAGTTTGACCAATCCATTGCGGGTTTGTTTGCTCATTTCAGTTGGTTGGCAGATGTTTGCAACCTCTTTCGGGACAGGGAAGAGGAAACATGGCCGTTGCTTCCTGACAGTCACAGTCACCGACCATGACCTGCATGGATACACGGCCACACAGTCACCTGATCCTCAAAGTCATCATCATATTTGTGTGCCACACGGTCTGTGTTTAAGGATCTTTATGTGGAGTGCCTAGGGCTTTGGCTATCTCACATAGAGGGGTGGTAGCTTGGACAAACTTCGAACTTGGTGCACCCTTCCTGAAGCGAAGGGTTGGGCAAGATGAGAAACACTTTTTCCCATGACCATCTTCAGCGACACGTCGACCCAAACTGATGAGAGAATAGAACGTTGCTTAGCCCAAATGGGCCAATCGTTCACCCTTTCATGGCCGGCGTCAAAAGGGAAAAAACCACTTGAAAGATCCCCGGATTGGAGGAGCCAAAAGCAGGTCCCGAGAGCTCACTCAAGACAGCTCCCAAGCAGTCGAGACGGTCGGAAGATCCTCGTGATGCAGAGAACCACGTTTTGACCAGAGAACCACTGCGTCAGACCTGTGTCACAGACCTGTGTCAGCTGTTTTTCAGGTCACCTGTTGCACCATCTTGGGCGACCGCCTCAAGATTCAGGCGCTAAGCCGAACAGCCAACGCACGGCACGGTAGACGACAGGTGGATCTCGGTGTAATAGCCAGGGATACTTACGGAGCTAATTTGAATTCCACACCGCCTGCTATGGAGGTGCCTTGATAGATCAGGGAAGGTTTGATTGGATGCTGAACGGTTTTTGCTTTTGAATGCTGTTGAAGACTTGCTTTTCTAAGCTTTATTGACGTGTCACTAACCTATTAATCCTAGTATCAATCCTATAATACTGTTTGATGTTTGATATGTACTTACCCGTGGGCATTCAAACTGAATCTGATATGTACTTACCCACGGGCATTCAAACTGACTTGCTTTCCTCTATTGAATCCAAGATAATCCAAGACTCCTGTACCTAAGTCAAACGGGAGCTTGGGTCTCTAATTCTCTTTTCTGAATGACCCAGCTAACAGCTAGTCCCGGCCGCCATCCCTGGCACAGATCAGCCAATATATAAACCATCCCTCCAAAATCATCACACATGGAGCCTCGTCGCAGGCATGGAGGCTTAATGGCTTAATGCGCCTAATGTGCCGGGACACTTGTGCCCAAAACCGTCGCTCCCCTGCGCCAGGAGGAACTCCAAGAGCTCTGCCGCGGCGCGGCCAACGGCGACTTCATCCACCTCGCCGCGCCCGAGGCGCCGGTGGAGGTACCGGTAGAGGTGCCGGTGCTGCCGGTGGCGCCAGCACCGCTGCCATTGACCACGCTGGTGCCTGCACCGGTGCCCATGCCGGTGGGACCGGTGCGGCCGGTGTCCGTGGCCTGGACTGGGAGGAGAGGCCGTGTGAGCCAGGTCTTTTGGCAGTACAGGTGGTCACCAGGAACCAGGTCAGAATATATATCCCGGGATCCAAGTTAACTTCTCAGAAGGTGATTGGAGACACTGTTCTGATCTGTTAACGTATATATACAGGTTTGGAGGGTCCAAAAAGCAAGCACCCTGAGGACCGATGAGTTTGTCAGCATGTTGAACCTTCAGGCAGTCTGACCGATGCCTTAGCCGACCTGAGGAAAATGCTGGCTTTCAATGGCAGGCATCTTCTGAGAAGTTGCTCTACTCGAGGTCGACCAAGCCGCAGCCGCTTGTTCGAGAACAACGTGGGAAGCGTCCGAGCTCGGATGCGTGGGGTGAAACCCGTTGGCGTCGAATGCGGAGAGATCATCCAGGGGTGGCGGTCCTTCACAGCAGGATGAAGAAGGATTTGCACATGTAAGTAGTTTGCTCACAGATCGGAACTCGTCAGAACAGCAAACAAGAGAAAGAAAATCCGAGAAGGGTGTGAGTGTGAGGAGCTTTTTTGCCCGTAATAGGTCTTGTTTTAGGAAAACCAAAGAGGGTATGCCAGGCATGTGGGGGTTGTGGTATGTTGACGTAGGTTGTTGTAAACAGTTAATGCAGCATATGCAGCTTGTGTCACATGGTAGGTGGCACATGGAAGGGTCAACATGAGTCAATAATACTTCAAGAAC